GTTAGGTTTTTTAGTTTAAAAATTATAATTATTTTACTTCATAGATTCTAATTAACAGATGACAGTTAACCAATCCGTGGAACCATTAGATCTGATATGACAAGAGATAAGGAACAGTCCAGGCCTTCGGCTATTTGGATATTATAGGTCTGACGCATTCCAGACGGCTAGCCCGCCATCTGGAGGATGCCTTATAATTATTCAAGTATTATTTATAAACTCCTCTTGCGAAACCGCGGAGCGAAGGAATTTCCGCAACGCACTGAATACACTGCACTGAATATATTTCTACATATTAACAACTTCAAAAGACTTCTGCACTGTACAGGAGCACGCTCCGGTATTCTACTACTTCACAGCTTTGCAACCTGAGGCCACTTGTGTTGCCGTCCTTAAAGATTCACATCCCGATCTCCCGTGAACCCAGTGACCTCTTTGAGTTGCCCTATTCTATATGCCCGATGCAACAGAAATTAGGGACCTTTATCTTTTTTTTTTTTCATGTGAGAAGGTGGCAAACGAGGGATCGGTACACCTGACGTTAAGTGATAACCGCCGTCCATTGACATGTGTAACACCCGTAGGGTTGCAGATGCGTTGCCACGTTTTAATAAAGTGGACCCCGGCTACCTCACTCGCCAGACGAATAACACTTTCACTTCACGCCGATCTTCTGTGAGGTCGTGGTATTTACTCGGACGGATCTGCCCACTCGTACAACAACGAAGACGTGGGCCTACCACCGTTAAAACCTATCGTATAGGTATACGTACGTAACCTATCATATATCAGCAAATAAATTTGATTTGATCATAGATTCTTATCGATCTTATGGAGATACGGTTCATATGACAGTTGAAGTTTTTTGAACATTTTAAGACTACGTTTCATAGTAAGGCTAAAAGGTCGAGAAGGATTGGCAAAAACTAACGTAATACGAACACGAAGCCACTGTTAAACGATGAGATGAATCAATAAGCTGTAGTACCTCTTCTACATGTTTATCCAATTAATTTATTTGTTTAAGATAATACGGCAAGCAGAACATATATTTACATTCGAATTACATTAGCTTAAGACAATAACCTAATCAAGTACTCATGTGAGTCAATTACCACCCGCGTTGACATCACCGACCAGAGGAGATGGTAATCAAACATTCAGCCAGTTTGCAAAAAAAGCTGTAGTAACATAATATAGCAAATGGGATTAGTTCAGTGCTATCCTACGGAACATTTTTCCTAAGCTGTTACTATGGATACCCATTTGATATGTGGTGGCACTGTAACCCTGCCAGGTACTTTACTCCTCCCACTTTAAGACAGGTAAGCTATATCGTCTGAGTTATTTTTAGGATTACGTACCCAAAGGGCAAAACGGAACCCTATAACTAAGACTCCCCTGTCTGTCTGTCACCTCATGAAGCGTGATCGTTAGAAAGTTGAAATTTTCACAGATGATTTATTTCTGTCGCCGCTAACGGGGCTTAAGGGGGGCTCGCATACAACAGACATGGCTTTTTTGCCGTTTTTAAAGATATTGGTCCGAAAGCCTTCGTGCACTAGTCCGACTCGCACTTGGCCGGTTTTTACAGAAATATGTGTACGGAACACTTCGTAGGGTTAAATTTTGATATTTATGATCTCATATGCATCGACAAATAGCTAAAATTTAAATCGGAACTTCTTCAATAAATTACTTGTCCTGACGCAGAATTTCAGTCAGAACTGATGAGCTGTTTGACTTTATAATGTATTGTGTTGGTGTTCGTTTTAAATCTGAAGGTAATAGTCGAATATCTGCGGTTAAATATAAAATCTATTTTGTTGTTAGCCGTTACACGTAACACCGACACGACCTAGTATTTCCAGTGAGCTATTAAATTATCCAGGTCATGTCATTTACGACGTTGCTGAATATTTTGTATGCGGTGCATCGATCGGGCCGCCGTATTGCACGGTGTAATCTAGGAAACTGGATACCGGTCGATGAGCGTGATTTCAATCGATAGTGAAATATTCGATGCACGAAGAAAGCACTGGCAAAAGATTATCTGATGCGAAAGAGAGTGGAGAAATTGGTGAAGGCCGCCCTAGCAAATTAATAGTTTGTTTTTGAAAAAAAAACTATTTTCTTTTTTTATCGGGATTAATTACGGTCTTAAGACTCGACGTTTCGAACACGACTAATGCATTAGCTAGGGACAAGTCTTCCAGTGACCAGGGACTATGTTAACTTTATAACGTAGACTCCAAAGATTCACTAACAAATTTATTCGAAGAAATATAAATATTGACTGTTTATTCTTCAAACATAACTTAATTCTACGCACAACGAGACTGCGTTTGTACAACAAAATCCCAGATAACGATCAAAGTTAACCAGTTTCTAAATTCAAAAAAATTTAAAGGAACGCTGGTTTGTTAAAGGGAGTAGTATTTTGTCAAGCAATAAGTCAATTTAATGCTTCTAAATTGAGTAAAGTTATTTGAATTTGATTTAACAATTTAAAAATGTAGAATTCGTGTAATTATAATAGGTAATCATTTTTGCGACGAAAAAATCATACGATTACGTTGTTCTTGAAGTTGTTGTCTATGAAGTTATTCTTGCTCGAAACAATTTCGTTGACGGAAATCTGATAAGAGGCATCGTGATCCGATACGATTGGATTTGACTTCAAGTGGAAGTATGCGTTCAGGTAATTTAATAAAACTCAAACATTGGCATAAAGTTTTACATAGCCCCTAGCACCCAAAGCTAAGCACCATGAGATTTTTTTATTTTTTTTCATGGGAAAAGTTGGCAAACGAGCTGGCGGTTCACTTGATATTGCGTGATAACCGCCGCCCATTGACATTTGCAATACCCGTAGGGTTGTAAATGCGTTGCCACCTTTTGATAAAGTGGGCTCCGGCTACCTCACTCAACAGACAAAACGCAGAAGTATAACACTTCAACTTCACGCCGGTCTTCTGTAGTCGTGGTAACTAACCGGACGGACCTGCCCATTGGTGCAACAGAGAAGACTGTTGCGTGGCCCCACCACAGTTAAAATATTGAGAGCATTTATCATTAGGTCTACGGGAGACAATCGGTAAACAGACGCAGTTACAAATGAACATGGAATGTATACAAGACAGTGGCATTAGAAATCCTGGCAACGTTGCAGACCGTACAATAGACGATTGTTTCGATAATCTATTAGTTTTGGCATTAGGAACGGTGTTATTACGGTCCGCAATGATAGACTTTAGACAATTTGTATACTTGTTGTAAATTTTGGAACGGTAAGACGACGTCCGCGACAAGTTCACTGTGTAACTAGTAGACTAAACGACAACTCGTTGGTTTATTATTTAGTATTTTTAATAAATTTTTGATAGCACTATACTTCATAGTCTTAGCTATCCTCAGGGCAGTAGCGAGATTACATACTGGGAAAACTCGGTAACAAATTGCATCAAAGATTTTTTTAAATTGCTTTTATACTAAGAAGAACTTCGTAATGACAGTTCGGATAGTTGTCAAAATTCTCTATCGTACCATAAATTCCGGATAACATATTTTGATACCTAGGTATAGGTGAGAATGATAGTCCACGAAAAACTGTTACTAACTGTCGTCAACGTAAACAAACTTTTTCTCTAGAGCTGCGTGCCATCACATACCCAATCGCTGAACTTCGGTGAGACGCTTAAGGCGTCGTAAGGTAATCTGAATTCGAAATCAGTTTGTAATCTGTGCAAGACGGTGGCGTTTAATCATTAATGACGCAATGTACGCTAGAAGATCATGCGTCACGTGATTAATATTCGATAGTAAACAATACCACCCCTGGAGCCAACTCGGGCAATGACATACTGAAGGTCGAAGTTGTTGCCCCGACGCACTGATGAAAATCAATTATTAAGGCAATGTAATTATCGACGATGATGCCTCGAAAATTTACTGAAAAGGTACGATCTAAAACGGCTTCGTCGTGAACATAAAATAATAATAATACAGATAACAGATGTGTAAAGTGTAATAATATGTCTACAAGCGTACATTATTCCGTGTTACGATTTATTACAGCAAATATCTGTATAGAAAATACTGGACCTTTTATGAACATCCAGTATTTATATTGGATAAGTAACCGCTATTGTGATTCTTAAAAAGGAAAAAATGGATACCATAATCTGGATATTATTTTTACTGTTGCAAAAAACATAAAAGTATAAAAGAATGAATTGTAAAACAATCTATTCGTTATAAATATTTCATGTATTTGCCATCACATCTGCTTAATGCATTCCGCCACCGGTACGAGGAACGTTCTTGAACAGTTTCCTTTTTATTTGTACTGACCTATTAATTCTAAAATTAATATAAACCGCAACGAAGAACGGTGGAAGCGTAGTTTGTAAAGAAATTTGTGTTTGTGTTTTCTTTATTTCATTTTTGAATCAATCCGTAATTAACTAATATTTATTTCAACAATGGAGGATAATTTCCCGCCAATTATTGAGCTTTGACAATTTGCCAATTATGTTATCGTTCCTTCTAGTTTTAAAATATACTCAAGACATTTTAGACACAAAAACTTTATCATTAAATTGTAATTATGTAAGTAAATACGATATCAGTATTTGTTGTTTACTTTTATGTATATATTGCATCTTCATTGTCTGTCAATTACAACTGTGTTATCTGTGAAGAATAAACTGTAACACATTTGTCTCTGACCTGTTATTTTTTAAAACTCCTTACCCTTCAAGGGTAAATAGAAAATGTTCTTTGTTTTAAGCCCTCAGCACATCTCATGTCTATTTTTTGTCTCCCATAACCTCTCAAAAACTTTGAATCTCGTGACATTATTTATACAACAGAGATTTACGAATATAATTAAATCAAGCCTTTAACAAATCAGTAGAAACCCATCAGGTAAACAGGCGCAAGAGCGTTACCTTCAGCCCTAGTAGAGTAGAGGAAAAAAAATATAAAACTAATCTTACCTCCTCGACGGACCGCTTGGAGAACTCGTTCATAGAGACAATCCATTGTTGCACTAGTTCATTCACTATAACTAGGTCGTTATATAACCAAGTAAGTAGCTCGTTGACCCAGGTCACGCTGACGGGGTCCGCGCCGGTGCACGTCGGCACTACGACGCTTTGGTGCTTCCTGAGGGTCAGCTGTTCGGGGCCCGGGGACATGCGGCCCAGGCGCTTCTTGTTCGGCGGGGTGGCCGGCACGAAGCTCGTCTTGGCCGGCTTGAAGGAGCCGCTCTTGACCTTGGCGCTGGTCGCCAGCACGCTGTCCGAGCTGGTGATGATTTCGTTCGCGGTCGACTTCTTGGGCTCGTCGACCGGCTTGGCCGACTTCTCGGCTTCCGCCGGCTTGCCGCCGAACCTGCCGTAAGCCCACTTCGCGATGCCCAGCAGTATGATCGAGAACACTATCCAGATGAATATCAACATGACTAGGTTGTCCATGGCCGTGTCCATATAGTCGAAGCTGCATATGAGGTCGTCAACGGCTTCGGCCAGGTCCGCCATAGTTTTCCATGGTTCCCACCACCATTTGGCGTCCGTCCCCACCGCCTCGCCTTCAGTTACTGGGCTAGGCATTTTTTATCTATTTCCGAACGCACTATTTTCGGACGCAGCTCTGTCTCGCTCCCGCGCGCGCTCTCTCTCTCTCTCTCTGTTTACGAATGCGTTCTAAAATAACATATTCGATTTCGCCTATTCAATAAATTGATTCGTTTGTATTAATTAATTAATATGAATGTGGAAATGGGCATATTCTATTCGTGGATTTATTAGGAGTCAATTGTGTAAATTCTCGTTCGTTCGTATTCAATCGTGATTTAAATCGCGGTGTCCGATCAACTCTGCGGTGTTGTCGCTTCTCATAAAAACTTCTAATTCATCCCTTTTGAAGCACTGTAACAAAATGAAAGAGACTGAATAATTTTAAACAATAGAAATAATAGAATTCTGTCGTAGAGCCACGGAGAGCTACCACAACCTGACAGAAGACAAGCGTGAAGTGGCGAAGTATACTTTGCGTTTCGTCTGATAAATAGGGTAACTTGGGCCTATTTTTTTAATCTAAGTAAATTTTTAAATCTAAATAAATTTTTTAAGAGTAAACACATCTAGACCCTCAGTCCTTAACTGACCTTGTGACTTACAAATTAAACATTCACTTATTCAAAAAATATAGTTGGATCTTCCCAAAATATTTTGATCATAAATAATTAATAAGTTCCAGTTACCTTTCAATTCTTAATTTAACTACTTAATTTAATTATTTACGGCTCAAACTGCGACACTAGCTAGCTGTTGTCAAATTTCTCGACACTGCATCAGATTAGCTTATATATTAGGTAAGAATTAAAAATAAAGAAGGAATAGTGTTTGTATGTAATGTTGTAAATCTGTTATGGGATTCTAGAAAATTTTAATATTTTGAACAGGATGTAAACGGGTATTGAAGACGGTCGGTCGGTCAATCAAGCTGGAAACCAAAAAAAACTTAAGGTTCTCTTTTGACGACTTATTTTTAAAAGCATCGCATCTAAGTTTCATAAACATGCATTAAACATAAAGTAGCCCCGTATCGATCACATCAATATTTAAGCGACGTAGGTACAGCGGTAGTCGAGTCCTCTCCATAATTACAATGTCATAGGTGTATCTTATGAATGTAGTATTTAAAACCGTCACTGGATATAAGGGCTGCTTTTTATTATGTTTTCTCCTAATCATTTTCAATTCACACAAACTGTATAGATGTTTAATAGATTTGAGAAAGTTTAAGTATTTTTTTTTAAATTTTAAACTGGTCAGCACTTACCTGCCATCCCACCTGATGGTAAGTGGCACAGCATCACTAATGTTTTTAGTTTATTAACTTTCGTGTTAACAGCAGGATGTTATGTACCGTAGTATAGTACACACGTAAGTACACAGTAAAAGTACATGATGGTACATAGTCTACGTACTATGTACCATCATGTACTTTTCCATATTAGTACTTATTCTGACGGCTTATTATTCCTTCTAGATTTCAACGTCAACCTTTAATGTCAACCTTTTTACGTGGAAGGATGAAAACTGTTTTGTACATAAATTACTGGCTCACAGAATTTACAAGGGTTCACCAGATGTCTTTACTTTCTAAAATACAAATATATATCATATACATTATCGCATGCTGGGGAAGATATTTCAGTGAGGTGTCGTGTGACTACATTTTACAACGTACTTAAAGGACAAAATAAGATATCGCCTATCATTTTGAGGAGTTTCCTCATGTATCTCGCGATTTCAAGATCCAATATCAATGAAATTAATATGGGACCAGATGAGGACTAAACCGAACGCAATCCAAGAAAACATTTTTAAAAAGGTTCATAAAAGAAGGAGATCTGAGGCAACAAACATAAAAAAAAAACACCCGAACTGGGAACCACCTCGTTTTTCGAAGTCGGTTGAAAAACAAGATGGTTTCAAACCACCTCGTGCAAAAAATTTTGCACACGCACTCTATAAACTATGAATATGTGATGTGTCTAAGTTCTAAGTAACTGAATCGCTGCTGATAAGGATCCAATATATTCCAACAACGCGTTTTCAATTGTAATTGTTGTTGGAATAAAAGAAAAGCTTAAAATTAACCAATACCATCATTAGACCCACAGATAAAAAGAAACAACGGATTTTTCCCGCGCAATTTACGTTGCAACATAACCTCAACGGAGCTTTCGGTGGGTTCCGAACTATTCAAATTCCGACACGTTTAGCCGACGACGTATCGGTATTGTCAGATAACTATTTTTATTTTCAACATCGACGCAAGCTGCGTCGTGAACAAATTAGTATGCTAATGATTTCAAAGACTGTTAATTTATAATGTACTCTGTGTTCTGTCGATTTATAAATAGTGTTGAGCCTAATTTTGAATCAAACAGCTTTTTGTAGTTTACAGAATATATTCTTGATAATTGATTCATTGGCTTTATGTATATGTACTATATTCGTTGAATTAAGGCCCATTTACACGATGCCATTTTCTTGTACATACAAGAGCAAAAATTGAATGCAATAAGTTTCACGCAATAATTGACCATCAAGAATTGTAAGCAACAGTTCACACGCAGATATAGTAAAAAAAATTGAATGCGATTATTGAATGCAAGTCTTGACAAGAAATAATTGCAAATGTCTTTTGTTTACACCAATGCAATTATGTTTAGGCGATTATTGCTTTCAAGTTCTTGTCTAAACACATGCTTGTATGTGCGTGTACAATTTATTGGCGTGTTGCTTCAAGTATTGCACGTATTTGCGTTGACACATTTTTCATGCAAGAGTTGAACGTTTTACAAAGGGCTGTTTTTTAAAAAAAAAGGCTCAAGTTAGATTATGGCGTTTAAATATATTTCATTGAGATTTATTTATTATGATCCATATATTATTATTAATATTTTTATCCAACTTTTTTTACAACCTTTTCTCAATATTTCGATCCTCAAAAGAACAGCAACGATTAAATACCCTCACTCATTGCACTAATTTTTGCAAAGGAAGAGAGAATGCAATTGAATACAAGAATTGCTTAAGATATTAATGCGTGTGCTGTTTACACCAAGTAAAGTTTTGAAACAAAACTTGAAGCAAGTCTTGTTCAACAGTCAAGAATGTTATGTGCTGTTTAGACAATGCAACTCATTTATTGCTTCAATTTAATTGTATATAACAGGCAAGAAACTTGCACCGTGTAAATGGGCCTTTATAGTCACGTTTAAAGTGACTACATTTAACAGTAGATCGGCGATCATTTGTAAAATGTTATGAATATCTTACGACATTGGGTCTTAGTAAGTCTTCTAGAAATGAATGAATTTAAAGTCCTTTAAATCTAATCGACTTCTCTGGGTGCGCTCTTTGTTGATGATTCGGACGCCAAGAATAAATGCACACGGGTTACCACACCCGATGAAGAAACGGTCGTGGGTTCATCGTTGTTAACTGTGACTCAACACGTTTGCCGTGATCTGGTGTCGATTACGTATTGTATCTATGGTCTCGTTATAAGGTAATAGAAATTGATAGCATTTTGCATTGGCTGCGGCTGAAATGATTCGGAATGAATTAGCACTTTATTCATATGTTTGTATGATTGGAATTAAAAGCGAGCGCCTGAAAACTTAGCTATCGCATTAAAAACTATTCGAAGATTTGTGAATACCGCCAATCCGCGGTGGGATCGCGACTATATATATATATATAGGATATAGGCTGTTGCTCTTTATTTTCAGATTAAACGACAGATTAGTAATATTTTTTTTTTTGGATATCGATAACGGTATTAGACGCTTAATTTATATCTTTTTGACATTAAAGTTATTTAGGATACTAATATTTACATAATTACCCATTAATAGTAATCTCATATCTTTAACAAACAGGGTGGACACTGTCTAGTATTAATTCGTAAAAAATAATAGTTAGACAACATAACTTTAACATATGTTGTACATATGTATTACATTTTACTACTCCTAATTATCATCATAATTTTAACCTGTCCCCAAAGTAAGAGAAATTAGGTCTTACGTTGACGTCACACGGGCGTGCCTAGAAATAAATTAACTGTCAGTACCTTAACTCTAACAAACTAACCACACCGTTAATGCGTCGGTTGGATAATTTATAAAACAGTCGTCAGTAAATCACTACACGACCGCTGGAGACGCAACACGTGGTTGAACAAAGGCGTTATCTGTGAACGAAAGCTTAATGGGGCCATAAATAACAGATAAAAGAAATATACTCAGCCAACATGTTCGGACGGGCTTAAATAAAATTGGATTAACATTCACTTCTCAAAGTTAGATCTAGTCGTATTTAATTTTTGAAACAAATGGACCTTAAACCGAAGAAAAGGACAACATTTTTGAAGATCCGATTGTCGCAGTGGATAGTGACACTGTCTCGCCAAAAGGTGGGAATTCATAATCGCTACTGGAAAAACATTGTGTGATAAAAATTGTTTATTACATGTTTGTGTTGTCTGGGTTTTATATAGGCTACATATTTGTATGTTTTGAATGATATTTAAATTTTGATTTTCACTATATAAATAGTATAAAAATATTTCATGAAATATTCATTAATGTGTTCATTATATTCATGTGCATTCATTAATATTCATTAGTGAGTTCTCGAAAAATATATTTTATACCTATAGTCTTTTCATGCTCACAGTACTAAAACGAAAACTATTGCGATACTCTGATAATCCTGAGAAGTTTTAATTTAACTAAAATAATACTATGAACCATAATATCTAGTCGCGTGTAACAACACTCGAAACTGATATAAAAAAAACAAAGTACCTAATTTCAAATTTAATACAACCTAAGTAAAACGTTCGGTAATTGGACGTAGGATCCCAATGGGCCATTATGACTGCACGGCTCGGGTCAAAAGCAAAAGTTCAATAAATATTCATGTCCATCATACGTAATGGCGGCCAACGGCGTGCCGATAACAAGCGTGACCTTGCCGCGATGACATCATCGCGAGGTCGCGCAGTCTGCCGGAATTTTGAATCG